CTATATGCTTGAGTGAGGTATTGGAATTCCTTAATATAGGTGGAAGGGTAGGCTGAGAAGGATCCTAAACGTTTCTCAATTTGGGACAGGTCTTGGAGTGAGAAAGGAACATGGACCCTGACTAAACCTTCAGCGCCTGCTACTTCTCGGAGTGTGGCCAGGATAGTTTGTTGGTTGAGAGCGGGTGTGGTCTGCCACTGGAGAGGCAAGAGGAAGTGCGGCCTCCGAGGGAAGGGGGCCCAGAGGGAGTAGAGGAAGAGCGAGGCATGGCCTCTGAGGTAGGAGGTGCAGAGGGAGTGGGGGAAGGGCGTGCTGTTGATGGCGACTGGTTGCCGAGGTTGGCAGGAGGGGACAGATGTTCAGGCAGATCTTCCAGTGAGGAGTAGGGAGGGGGAGAGGTAGTGGAGGAAGACTTACGAGGGGTACGAGCTAAGAGGATTTGGTAGGTGGAGCAGGAAGAACATAGGTCAGGGTGGGTACGGAGGTCCCAAAAAGACTGAACGTAAGGAATTTCATTGTCTTTGCCCATGCAGCAACAAAAATTGTCAAGATCTCAGTGGGTGTTGAAATAGAAAGTGCCAGTCGGGGGCCAATGTGACTGGTTACTGAGTTTGTATTGGGGCCAAGTCACCTGGGATAGGAAGACAAGCTTTTTCTTTCTGAGGGTTTGGGAGTATCCCAATTTGGTAAAATTTCACAGCAAGCACCCAAGGGGGGTGCTGGAAAGTATTTTGGACTCCGAATTTCCCATGGCAGGCGCAGCTACAGACCCTCCAGCGCAGTTGGGTAGATGCAAAGAAAAGGCGTCCCCTTTCATTGCAAATTCCCCAGAGTACAGTTAAGTACGGTTAGGGAAGCGGTCAGAGGGGTGTCCCCCATCTGGCAGCTACCCCTCGGAAGGCTCCTGGAGCCAGAACGGAGGACTACCTTGGCTCGGCCGAGACTAGGTGAGGAGTCCGTGCGGAACGCCAGAGGGGAGCAACTGCACCATGCCGTAGGAGGAGGAAAAGGGGGGGGGTAAAGCAAGAAAAATCTTGGCTTACCTTAATCGGAGCATGGAGGTGGCAGGGCCAGTGTTGGGTAGGTCGGGGGAGGGGCCATGACTGGGCCAACAGCTCCAGCTCCTGGGTTTCGGCACCACTTGTCCGACCTACCCTCTGCGGGAGGACTGAGCTCGTTCGGAAAAAACCGGACCGCAGGTTAGAAGAAAGTCTTAAGTTCAGGCTTTATTGAGAGGAAAGAGCCTCTGGGCAGGCCAGCCGGGAAAAAGAGGAAAATGGCCACGCTGCTCAGAGGAGCAGGGTTCTTTTATAGGGAGCTGCAGGGCCAAGGGAGTGGGGAAGCCGAGAGAGCCGAGGTGGCGGGCAATGGTTGGTCAGTTTAAACCACTGGGTGGGAAGCTGGGCGGTGGGAAGCTGGGGAGTGCTAATGAGGCAGGCAGTGATTGGTCAGCTGGTTGCCGGGCGGGAGGTGGCTGCAGCCGGGCGGGAAGGCTAGAGCGGTATGTAGAGTGAGAGATAAGGGAGCTTCTTTGTGGGGGAGGGAAAGAGAGCTTTCACGATAGGGGCAGAGTTTTCCAAACACTTAGGATAATGCCAATTTCCCCAAAACCTACCCAGCCTATGCTTCCCTAAAACTTAGTATGTGTACGCACATACACACATATAAGTGCCATGGTTTATGAAAATAGAAAATTCAGGCAATTTGTTTCTGTTGGTATCATCAAAACACTTTCTCCCTCTTGAAGTATTTGGACATAGAAGGCATGTATTTTCATTTAAAATGTGTTTGAATGTACTTTTGACTACGACTCATTGAAAAGCCAAAATTTAAACCATGTATTAATAAATAAGAATACAGATCACACAGAGGATATTGCTCATAAAACAAAATTTGGTGGCCATTTTTACTCCATTTGTTTGCTAAACATGTCTTATGACTCCAAATTTATTCTAATTGCTTAATATATTGTGTTAGCTGAAATAACCCAAGGGGAAAAAGATGTATTATGTTTATGGACTATGCAATGATGCTACAACTGTAATTATTTTTGTTTCAATATGGTTTGATTGTGTCTTATGGGAATATCCCCTATTTTTTTTTTGGAGTTAAAATTATATTATTATAATTAGCAATTTAAAATAATCAATGACTAGTCATGTAAATTTGAACAAGATATCTCTTAGCCTCAGTTTCCTCATGTATAAAATTGGGAAAATTCTACCTATCTGGCATGATTAAGCGTGAGAATATATGTGACACCAGGCACAGTGCGTGGTACTTAGTAGGAACCCAATAAACTTAAGCCCTTCCCCTTTCATTTAAGCAAAACAGAAAGCTACTAGTGAAATAAATTTGGTTTAAAATCATTGGAAAATTTTTTCACATGAATTAAAACTTCCACAGTTTAGGAATTAAATCATAATTTTGACAGATGCAATTAATATGTATGTGCTTTTAATTTCATAGTAGCAGAATATGTTGCCTTCTTCTAGGGAGTTAGGGCAGGTAGCAGGCAAAAAATCATATGGTTGTGTACATTCTACAGATAATTCCAAATAAAGAGTTTCAAAAAGGATTTTGAGAACATTTTTGGAGCATTCTTGGATTGCTGGGCAGCATTCTTGGAAGCATCACAGTGTCAAAATGGAGACTTTTCAAAATGGAGTGAGTGCTCACAAGATACAATATCTGGTTGTGTGAAAGTGTGTATCACTTTCCCATTTATTCTCTCTCTCTCCTGCTCCACTATGTGAAGACAATGCTTGCTTTCTCTTCACCTTCTGGCATAATTGTAAGTTTTCTGATGCCATTCCAGAAGCAGAAGCCTGTATAGCCTGCAGAACCCTGAGCTGATTAAATCTCTTTTCTTTATAAAATACCCAGTCTCATATACGTCTTTATAGCAGTGTGAGAATTGACTAGTACAGAAAATTGGTACCAGAGAAGTGGGGCATTGCTATAAATATACCTGAAAATGTGGAAGCAGCTTTGAAACGGGGTAACAGGCAGAGGTTGGAGCAGTTTATAGGGCTTAGAAAAGGAGGGGAAGATGAGGGAAAGTTCAGAACCTCATAGAAACTTGTTGAATGGTTTTGATGGAAATGGTGATAGTGATAGGGACAGAGAAGGCCAAGCTGATGAAGTCTCAAATGGAGATGAGAAACTTACTGGGAAATGGAATAAAGGTTATTCTTGCTAGGCTTTAGCAAAGAGACTGGCAGCCTTGTGCCCTGGTGTAGAGCTCTGTGGAACTCTGAACTTGATATAGAGTATCTAGTAGAAGAAATTTCTAAACAGCAATCTGTTCAAGATGTAGCCTGGCTGCTTCTAAAATCCTGCACTATTTTGCATTAAAACAAAATGACCTGAAACTGGAACTTAAAAGGGAATAAAAGATTGAAAAATGTGCAGTCAGGCCATGTGGTAGAAAAGAAAAACACATTTCAGGGGAATAATTCAAGACAACTGCAGAAATTTGCATAAGTGAAGAGGAGCTGAATGTCTGTAGCCAAGACAATGGGGAAAATGCCTCAAAGGCATTTCAGAGACATTCATGTCATCCCCTCCCATAACAGGCCCAGAAGCCCAGGAGGGAAACATAGTTTTATGGGCCAGGCTCTAGGCCTTGCTGCTCTGCGTAACCTCAGAACATGGCACCCTGTGTCCTAACTACTCCAGCTCCAGTCAAGGTTAAAAGGGGCCAAGGTACAACTAAGACCACTGATCCAGAGGGTGTAAGCCAGGAGCTGCCAAGACTTCCATGTGGTGTTAAACCTATGGGTATTCAGAGGGCAAGAGCTGAGGCTTGGGAGCCTCTGCCTAGATTTTAGAGTGTGTATGGAAATGCTTGGATGTCCAGGCAGTGTCTGCTGTGGGGATGGAGTCCTCATGGAGAACTCTAATAAGGCACTGCAGAGGGGACATGTGGAGTTTTGGAGCCTCCACACAGAGTCCCCAAGGGTGCACTGCCTGGTGGAGCTGTTGAAGGAGGGCCACTGTTCTCTAGATCCCAGATCCACTGAGAGTTTTTACTGTTTGCCTGCAAAAGCTACAGACACTCAACTCCAGCCCTTGAAAGCACCCAGGAGGGCAGCTGTATTCTGCAAAGTCACAGGGATGGAGCTTCCCAAGACCATGAGATACCACTTTTTGCATCACTGTCACCTGGATGTGAGACATGGATTCAAGAAGATCATTTTGGAACTTTAAGGTTTAATGACTGTCCTATTGGATTTTAGAATTGCATGAGACCTGTGGCCCTTTTGTTTTGACCAATTTCTCCTGTTTCGAATGAATGTACTTCCCCAATGCCTGTACCTTCATTGTATCTAGAAAGTAACTAACTTGCTTTAGGTTTTACAGACTTATAGACAGATGGGACCTTCCTTGTCTCAGATGAAATTTTGGACTTGAACTTTTGAGTTAATGCTGGAATAAGTAAAGATTTGGGGGAAATGTTGGGAAGGCATGACTGCATTTTGAAATGTGAGAGAGACATGATTTTGGGAGAGGCCAGGGGTGAAATAATATGGTTTGGCTCTGTGTGTGTCCCTACCAAATCTCATGTTGAATTATAATCCCCCAGTGTTGGCTGAAGGACCTGGTGGTATGTTATTGGATCATGCGGATGGATTTTCCCCTTACTGTTCTTGCGATAGTGAGTGAGTAGTCATAAAATCTGATTGTTTAAAAGTGTGTAGCACTTATCCCTTCACTCTCTCCTGCACCACTATGTAAAGATGGTGCTTGCTTCCCCTTCATCTTCTGCTATGACTGTAAGTTTCCTGAGGCCTCTCCATGACCAGAAACCTGTACAGCCTACAAAACTGTGAGCTGATTAAACTTTTTTCTTTATCAACTGCCTCATCTTAAGCATGTTGTTATAGCAGTATGAGGACTGACTAATATAGTAGCTATTCATTCAAAATATACCTTTCATAACAGAATAAAATTAGCACTAATTTTGAGTTAAATTTTTCACGGAATTCTACCGAACTTTTTTTTTTAATCACATCCTAGGGGCTTTGAACAAGAGAAATTATTTCTTTTTCGCTCTTCATGTTCATCTTGGGTAAACTGGAGATTCTCATGCATGTATTTCTCCATAGCATTCCAGGCTTAACAGCAGCACTGTCTGGAAAGTTACCAGGTGCTGTATCAGAGGAAAAGCAAGAGCATTGTTATTGCTAAACCTTTATATCTACATACTCAGTGTTGCTTACAGATGACATTTTTAAAATTTTACTTTAAGTTCTGAGATACATGTGCAGAATGTGCAGGTCTGTTACATAGGTATACATGTGCTATAGTGGTTTGCTGTACCTGTCAACCCATCATCTAGGTTTAAAGCCCCGTATGCATTAGGTATTTGTCCTAATGCTCTCCCACCCCTTGCGCCCCCAAACCCCAGCAGGCCCAAGTGTGTGATGTTCCTCTCCCTGTGTCCATGTGTCTTCATTTTTCAACTCCCACTTATAAGTGAGCATGTTCAGTGTTTAGTTTTCTGTTCCTCGGTTAGTTTGCTGAGATTGATGGCTTCCAGCTTCATCCATGTCCTTGCAAAGGACATGAACTCATTCTTTTTTATGACTGCAGAGAATCCCGTGATGTATATGTGCCATGTTTTCTTTATCCGGTCTGTCATTGATAAACATTTAAATTGGTTCGAAGTCTGTGCTATTGTAAATAGTGTTACAATAAACATACATGTGCATATGTCTCTATAGTAGAATGATTTATAATCCTTTGGGTATATACCCAGTAATGGGATTGCTGGGTCAAGTGGTTCTGGTCTGAGATTTCTTGAGGAATTGCCACACTATTTTCCATAAAGATTGAACTAATCTATACATCCACCAACAGAGTAAAAGCTTTCTATTTCTCCACAGCCTCAGCAAAAGCTGTTGTTTCCTGACTTTTTAATAATTACCATTCTTACTGATGTGAGATGGTATCTTATTGTGGTTTTGATTTATATTTCTCTAATAATCACTGATGATGAGCTTTTTTTCTTTCCTTTTTTCTCATATAAATTTTATTTATTTATTTTTAATTGTACCTTAAGTTCTGGGGTACATGTGCAGATCTGGAAGGATTGTTGTGTAGGTACACACATGCCATAGTGGTTTGCTCTTTCCATCCCCGCAACACCTACATCAGGTTAGGAAGAATGAATACCTTGAAAATGGCCATACTGCCAAAAGTAATTTATAGCATCAATGTTATCCCCATCAAACTACCACTTACCTTCTTCACAGAACTGGAAAAAAACACTTTAAACTTCATATGGAACCAAAAGAGAGCCTGCATAGCCAAGACAATCCTAAGCAAAAAAACAAAGCTGGAGACATCACACTACCTGCCTTCAAACTGTACTACAAGGCTACAGTAATCAAAACAGCGTAGTACTGGTACCAAAACAGATATAGACCAGTGGAACAGAACAGAGGTCTTAGAACAAACGCCACACATCTTCAACTATCTGATCTTTGACAAACTGGACAAAAACAAGCAATGGGGAAAAATTCCCTGTTTAATAAATGGTGTTGGGAAAACTGGCTAGCAATGTGCAAAACCTGAAACTGAACCCCTTCCTTACACGTTACACCAAAATTAACTCCAGATGGATTAAAGACTTAAACATAAGGCCTAACACCATAAAAAACCTAGAAGAAAACCTAGGCAAAACCTTTTAGGACATAGGTATAGGCAAGGACTTCATGACTAAAACACCTAAAACAATGGCAACAAAAGCCAAAATAGACAAATGGGATCTAGTTGAACTTAAGAGCTTCTGCACAGCAAGAGAAACAATCAATAGAGTGAATCAGCACCCAACAGAATGGGGAAAAAATTGCAATTTACCGGTCTGACAAAGGGCTAATATCCAGAATCTACAAAGAACTGAAACAGATTTACAAGAAAAAAACAATCAAATTCAAAAGTGGGCAAAGGATATGAACAGGCACTTTTCAAAGGAAGACATATATGGGGTCAAAAAACATAAAAAATGCTCATCATCACTAGTTATAAGGGAAATGCAAATCAAAACCACATTAAGATACCTCTTCATGCCAGTCAGAATGGTGATCATTAAAAAAATCTGGAGACAACAGATGCTGGAGAGGATGTGGAGAAATAGAAACACTTTTACACTTTTTCAACTAGTGTAAATTAGTTCAACCATTGTGGAAGACAATGTGGTATTTCCTCAAGGATCTAGAAATAGAAATTCCATTTGACCCAGCAATCCTATTACTGGGTATATACCCAAAGGATTATAAATCTTTCTCTTGTAAAGACACATGCACATTGCAACACTGTTTACAGCAGCAAAGACCTGGAACCAACCCAAATGCCCATCAGTGATAGACTGGATAAAGAAAATGTGACACATATACATCATGGAATACTATGCATCCTTCAAAAGGATGAGTTCATGTCCTTTGTTTGGGTATGGATGAATCTGGAAACCATCATTTTCAGCAAACTAACACAAGAACAGAAAACCAAATACCACATGTTCTCACTCATAGGCAGGTGTGAGACAATGAGAACACATGAGCATAGGGAGGGGAACATTGCACACTGGGGTCTATTGGGGGTGGTGGGCTAGAGGAAGGTTGAGCTTTTTTTTCATGTTTGTTGGCTTCATAAAAGTTTTTTTTTTTTAAGAAGCATCTGTTCCTATCCTTTGCTCACTTTTTGAAGGATTTATTATTTTTGTATTTTTGTAAATTTGTTTAAGTTCTTTGCAGATTCTGGATATTAGATCTTTGTCAGATGGGTAGCTTGCAAAAATTTTCTCCCATTCTGTAGGATACCTATTCACTCTGATGATAGTTTCTTTTGCTGTTCAGAAGCTCTCTAGTTTAATTAGATCCCATATGTCAATTTTGGCTTTTGTTGCCATTGCTTTTGGTGTTTTAGCCATGAAGTCTTTGCTTATGCCTATGTCTTGAATGGTATTGCCTAGGTTTCTGTATACAGTTTTTAAGGTTTTGGGTTTTGCACTTAAGTCTTTAATCCATCTTGAATTATTTTTTCTATAAGGAAGGGATTCAGTTTCTGTTTTCTGCATATGGCTGGCCAGTTTTCCAGCACCCTTTATTAAATAGAAAAGCCTTTCCCCATTACTTGTTTTTGTCAGGTTTGTTGAAGATCAGATGGTTGTAGATGTGTTGTGTTATTTCTGAGGTCTCTGTTCTGTTCCATTGGTTTATATATCTGTTTTGGTATCAGTACCATACTGTTTTGGTTACTGTAGCCTTGTAGTATAGTTTGAAGTCAGGTAGAGTGATGCCTCCAGGTTTGTTCTTTTTGTTTAGGTTTGTCTTGGCTATATCAGCTCTTTTGTGGTTCCATATGAAATTTAAAGTAGTTTTTTCTAATTCTGTGAAAAAAGTCACTGGTAGCTTGATGGGAATAGCATTAAATCTATAAATTACTTGGGTAGTATGGCCATTTTCACGATATTAATTCTTCCTATCCATGAGTATGGAATGGTTTTCCATTTGTTTGTGTCCTCTCTTATTTCATTGAGTGGTGGTTTGTATTTATCCTTGAAGAGGTCTTTCACATCCCTTTTAAGTTGTATCCTCAGTATTTTATTCCCTTTGTAGCATTGTGAATGGGGGTTAACTCATAATTTTGCTCTTTGCTTGTCTATTGTTGGTGTATAGGAATGCTTGTAATTTTTGCACATTAATTTTGTATCCTGATACTTTGCCAAAACTGCTTATCAGCTTAAGATAAGCAGCTGAGATGATCAGGTTTTCTAAATATACTATCACATCATCTACAAAAGAGACAATTTGATTTCCTGTATTCCTGTTTGAATACCATTTATTTCTTTCTCTTGTCTGATTGCCCTGCCCAGAACTTCCAGTACTATGTTGAATAGGAGTGGTGAGAGAAGGCATCCTTTTCTTGTGCCAGTTTTCCAAGGGAATGCTGCTAGCTTTTGCCCATTCAATATAACATTGGTTGTGGATTTGTTATAAAAAGCTCTTGTCATTTTGAGATATGTTCCATCAATACCTAGTTCATTGAGAATTTTAGCATGAAGGGATGTTGAATTTTCTCGAAGGTCTTTTCTGCATCTATTGAGATAATCATGTGGTTTCTGTCATTGGTTCTGTTTATGTGATGGATTATGCTTATTGATTTGAATATTTTAAACCAGCCTTATATTCTAGGGATGACTTCAACTTTAATGTGGTTGATAAGCTTTTGGATATGCTGCTGGATTGTGTGCCAGTTTTTTTGTTTCTTTGTTTCTTTTTTTTTTTTTTCTTTAGGATTTTTGTATTGATGTACATCGGGGATATTGGACTGATATTTTTCTTGTTGTGGTGTCTCTGCTGGGTTTTGGTATCAGTATGATGCTGGTCTCATAAAATGAGCAAGGGAGAAGTTCCTCTCTGTCTATTGTTTGGAATCATTTCAGAAGGAGTGGAACCAGCTCCTCTATTTACCTCTGGTAGAATTCAGCTGTGAATCAATCTGGTCTGAAGCTTTTTTTTGGTTGTTAGCCTGTTAATTACTGACTCAATTTCAGAATTTGTTATTGATCAATTCAGGGATTCAACTTCTTCTTGGTTTAGTCTTGGCAGGGTGTATGTGTCCAGGAATTTATCCATTTCTTCTACATTTTCTAGTTTATCTGGGGGTGTTTTAGTATTCTGATGGTAGTTTGTATTTCTGTGGGATCAGTGGTAATATCCCCTTTATCATTTTTATTTGACTTGTCTATTTGATTCTTTTCTCATTTCTTCTTTATTAGTCTAGCTAGAGGTCCATTTATTTTGTTAATCTTTAAAAAAAAAAACCAGCTCCTATATTCGTTAATTTTTTGAAGGGTTTTCTGTGTCCCTATCTCCTTCAGTTCTGCTCTGACCTTAGTTATTTCTTGTCTTCTGCTAGCTTTTTAATGTGTTTTGTCTTGCTTCTCTAGTTCTTTTGTGATGTTGGGGTGTTGATTTTAGATCTTCCAAGCTTTCTGTTGTGAACATTTAGTGCTATAAATTTCTCTCTTAACACTGCTTTAGCTGTGTCCCAGAGATTCTGTTACATTGTCTCTTTGTTATCATTGGTTTCCAATAATCTCTTTATTTCTGCTTTAATTTTGTTATTTACTCAGTAATCATTTGGGAGCAAGTTGTTCAATTTCCTTGTAGTTGTGCAGTTTTGAATGAGTTTCTTAATCCTGAGTTCTAATTTGGTTTCACTGTGGTCTGAGAGGCTGTTTGTTATGATTTCCATTCTTTTGCATTTGCTGAGAAGTGGTCAATTTTAGAATAAGTGTGATGTGGCACTGTGAAGAATGTATATTCTGTTGATTTGAGACGGAGAGTTCTGTAGATGTCTATTAGGTCTGCTTGGTCCAAAGCTGAGTTCAAGTCCTCAATGTTCTTGTTAATTTTCTGTCACGTTGATCTGTCTAATGTTGACAGTGGGTGTTAAAGTCTCCCACTATTATTGTGTGGGTGTTTAAGTCTCTTTGTAGGTCTCTGATAACTGGTTTTATGTATCTGTGTGCTCCTGTATTGGGTTCATGTATATTTAGAATAGATAGCTCTTCTTGTTACATTGACCTCTTTACCATTCTGAACTCTTTTGTCTTTTTTGATCTTTTTCAGCTTAATTTCTGTTTTATTAGAGACTAGGATTGCAAGCTATGCTTTTTTTTCTATTTGTTTGATAAATATTCCTCCATCCCTTTATTTTGAGCCTTTGTGTGTCTTTGCAAATGAGATGGGTCTCCTGAATACAGTACTCTGATGGGTCTTAATATGTTATTCAATTTTTCATTCTGCATCTTTTAATTGGGGTATTTAGCCCATTTACATTTAATGTTAATATTGTTAAGTGTTAATTTGATCCTGTCATTATGATGCTGGCTGATTATTTTGCACATTAGTTGATGTCGTTTCTTCATATCATTATGTTTTTATATCTTGGTGCATTTTTGCAGTCGCTGATACCAGTTTTTTGTTTCCATATTTAGTGCTAATTTCAGAAGCTCTTGTAAGGCACGCCTGGTGAAGACAAAATCTGTCAGCATTTGCTTGTCTGGAAAGAATTTTATTTCTCCTTCTCTTATAAAACTTAGTTTGGCTGGTTATGAAATTTTGGGTTGAAAATTCCTTTCTTTAGGAATGTTTAATATTGGCCCCCAGTCTTTTCTGGCTTATAGGGTTTCTGCAGAGAGATCTACTGTTAGTCTGATGGGCTTATTTTTGTATGTAACCTGACCTTTCTCTCTGGCTATCCTAAACACCTTTACCTTTGTTTCAAACTTAGAGAATTTTACAGTTACATTTCCTGATGTTGCTCTTTTTGAGGAGTATCTTGGTGGCTTTTTCCTGTATTTCCTGAATTTGAACATAGGTCTGTCTTGCTAGGTTAGGGAAGTTCTCCTGGATGATATCCTGAAGTGTGTTTTCAAACATGGTTCCATTCTTGTTGTCACTTAAAGGTATATCAATTAATTATAGGTTTGATCTTTTCACAGAGTACCATATTTCTTGGAGGATTTGTTCGTTCCTTTTCGTTCTTTTTTCTCTAACACCTTATTTCAGTAAGTTGATCTTCAATCTCTGATATCCTTTTTTCTGCTTGATCAATTCAGCTATTGATACTTGTGTATGCTTCATTAAGTTCTCATGCTGTGTTTTTCAGCTCCATCAAGTCATTTATGTTCCTCTCTAAACTGGTTATTCTAGTTAATCATTTCTGTAACCTTTTATCAATATTCTTAAATTCCTTGTATTGGGTTAGAACATGCTCCTTTAGCTCAGAGGAGTTCATTATTACCCATCTTCTGAAGCCTACTTCTGGCACTTGTCAGTCTCATTCTACATCCAGTTTTGTGCCCTTGCTGAAGAAGAGTTGCAATCCTTTGGAGGAGAAGAGGCCTTCTGGTTTTTGGAGTTTTCAGCATGTTTGTGCTGATTTTCCCTCATCTTCTTCGATTTGTCTACCTTTGATCTTTGTAGTTTTTAGATTAGAGAAAAAGATAAAGAAAGTCTTTATGACTTGTTTTTTTCTATTTTTTTTTACCCAAACAAGGTGAACAAATGCCATTGATTTTCTCTCTAATCTGAAATTCACATGAGGCATTATGTATCAGGTTCCCACTACTTCTCTTGTGAAAATGGGAAACTATGAACTGTACTGAGCAACAGCAAAACTTTGATTAAGTGAATTATAAAATTAAATTCTGCATTATAACACTCCATGAACTTATAGAATGTATTGTATAGTTTACAGAAGAAAAAGCACTGAAGTTATTTATGACAGATGTTCACTTAAAACATGAAGATTATATTTATATCTGTAGAGGTACTACAAAGTAGTTAAAACCACAAAACTACATTACCTGAATTTCAAACGTAGGACCTATTTGCTCTTTCCTTGGCCTTATTGACTGCAGTACTCTTCACTGATCGTTCAAGGATCATAGGTGAGGGCTGCACCTTGGTTACTGTGAGATTGCCATATATTTTAGTAAGGTTTCATTTATTCTTTTGTCCTTTTCAGTAGAGTAATATAGAAAACAATGAAAAATTGTAAAATTTGGCAACAGAAACAAACCTAGGTTATGGCTGATGACAAAGGTCACTTTTGTTCCTATCTTCTAGGAGTGGTTGAAAAGGAAAAAGAGTTGGTTCAATTAGTAGATGCTGAAAAGATATCTGATCTTATGTAAAGTTATTCAATACATTAACCATTGGTATCAATTTGCAGACAATGAAGAAGCAAGAATATAACTGACCTCTAATCTTCAGATTGCCTTTACAATTGACGCTATGTAGACTTTTAAAAATGTTGATATGGAGCATCCACAATGTGACTTTTACCATGTAACTTTCCCAAATGAAATAGTTTTAGACTGCTCATCCCCTATAGCAAATGTAACAAGGAAAAGTTTTGGCAAGAAATGAACTTTCAGAAAACATGAAACATCTCTTTATTCAAGGCATGGGGAAATATACCAGATGTCAAGTGTCCACTTTAATCAATTAAGCTTATTCCACCCATAATTATTTGCTTTCTATAGGAGATTTGTGAGTCCTCCATAATGGCCCACTTGGATCAAGGCAACATTATTCAGGGATTTGACAACATGTGTAAACTCTTTTTGAATTAATTTTCAAAGTCTTTTGTGACTGGTGTCAATTTGGCAACAGCATTCTTTCATACATCTAGGCTCAAGGTCTAGACTTTGAGAGTTGTTAATGTTAAGAATTTCCTCTCTAACAATTACCTCTTACTTTCCAGAAGACAGAGAAACTGTGAGTATCTCGAATGTTAGAGTAAAAGTAGGCAGAAACCTAAAAGTTTGGTGTTATGAAGTTAACTTTTTGACTGAAAATAACTTTTAATAGCAATACAATTAGAGAGTAAGAGTGAACCTTAGAATCTGCCTCATTCAAGTCCTCCAAAAGCCTATTAATAATAAAATGCTTTTCGTATGTAAATGCGGCACTTATTATACAATGTATCATTTATACTACATAAAAATTGTCATATAGCTGCATTATAGAAGAAAAATAAATTAGTTAAAATGAAAAAATATTGGCTCATGTTTTAAAATTCCTTCTAAAAATAACATATTTATTAAAATTAAACTAAAGAAGCAAAAAAAATTTCAAAACTTAATTTTACTCACTGTTACCCTGAAGAACTCATGAAACTCATGAAAGGACATCATCCTATTGTTCACTGCATTGGATTGAGCACAGTATGATAAAAGCTATTAAAAAAAAATACAGCCCTTTTCTTACCAAAGCCTTTGAGGTTGTATCTAGGGGCCTTGTGTGTGACTTAATGTCCCAAGAAGTCTCTTTTTATTGCAGCTTGTGAGTAACGTTAGAACTTTGTAGAACAAAGGCAATGGCCAGCAAGATAGTGCTTAGGCAGCAGGGTGTCTTCTCTATATTAGGCAGTTCATATTATTGACAGATTCATTATAGGTACAGAGATCACTGATTTTTGTGGTAATCTGTAAATAATTTTCTTAAAATTATCTTTTTAAAAAAAATTGATTAAGGATAAAGAGTCACCCATATTTTGTTGTACAATGCATCAAACCCATATCGAAATGCATTTGCAGGACTCTATGGTTGAAGTTTGGTTTTAAAAATTTTACTTCCTTTTTAGATGTGCCTTTAATAAACTAATCCATTTAGTACAATATGTAATTTTTTGTGTTAACAATATTGCCACCAGTTTTACATCTATAGAAAATAATTTCTTAGGGCCCTATTATCAAAGTCAAAAGTAACAAGTGGTAATGAGAGTTAATTTTATTTGTAGCACTATTAAAAATTTTCTTACATTCATTCACTTAAGTTTTGGTAACATATTTTGGCTAACTGCTTTGGCTATATATACCAAAAAGAATGAGGATTTGGTCAAGGGACTTTCCATTAACATAAAAGAATTATTTTATTTAAAAGGCAGATTTTAACAAAAATTTAATTGGTGGTGGTGACCATAGGGATACAATTTTGCTATACCGTTTGTGTTACCTAAGCAAACAATCACAATTAATTTTTGCCAAAATGTTTCTCTGCAATCATTCAGATTTTATTACAATGTCTGTTTAGTTTCTTATTTTCCTTGACATAATAAAATTCAAGGCCAAACATAACTCTATAAAATTAGGTTTTATTGTTTTGGTGTTTGTTAAGTCAATTTTTTCCCCTTAATATCACATAAAAATAATCAGGTTTTGAGGTTTAAATTTCTTTAATAGAAATGTTTATGGGATTTATATTATTCCAAATAAAAGATATAGCAATGGTAATAGTCCACATTTAAAAACATCCAAATTAACTATAGATATTGCTAGTAACCCCTAATAGGTTTAATGGTAAATCTATATTTTAGTTATAAATATTAAGTTTTTAGATAAGAATATTTGTCACATGAAATGCAACAGAAAAACTCTAGTTTTAGTTAGGCTGATATTATAAACTAATGAGAGACAAAAAACCTGGTTTTCACTTCTGATATTCTTACTAGTCTGATTTCATGATTTCTCACCATCATCTCATTTCAATTACATATTTTGACTATATTAAAGATACTTAAAATAGATTTTAATGTCAATCTTGATAAAGGTGATCACATGTATTAAAAATAGTGCAATCATATTCTAAAACAAGACCATTAATTAGTTTTCAAAAATTATTAGCTTATTTTATTATTTTTTCTATTAACTTTTATTTAAGGTTCATGGGTACATATGCAGGTTTGTTAGATAGATAAGCTTAAGTTATGGGAGTCTGCTGTGCAGTTTATTTCATCATAGTGCCCAATAGGTTACTTTTTCCGATCCTCTTCCTCCTTTCACCCTCCACCCTCAAGTGGACTCCAGTGTGTCTTGTTCCCCTCTTTGTGTCCATGTGTTCTCATTGTTTGGCTCCAACTTATAAGTGAGAACATGTAGTATTTTTCTGTTCCTGTATTAGTTTGCTTAGGAAAATGGCCTCCAGCTGCATCCATGTTCCTAAAAAGGACATGATTTTGTTGGGTTCTTTTGGTCTGTTTTTTTTTTTTTGTCTGCATTGTATTTCATGGTGTATATGTGCCACATTATCTTATTCTAGTCTATTATTGACAGGCATTTAGTTGATTCCATATCTTTGCTATTGTAAATAGTGCTACAGTGAATCTGTGTGCATGTGTCTTTACGGTAGAACAATTTATATTTCTTTGGATGTACCCAATAATAGGATTGCTGGGTTGTATGGCAATTCTGTTTTCAGTTCTTTGAAGAAATGCCACACTGCTTTCCACAAATTGTTGTACTAATTTGCACTCCCAAAAGCAATGTATAAGCATTCTCTTTTCCCCACAACCTTGCCAGCATCTGTTATTTTTGACTTTTTAAAAAAGACGTTTTGACTGGTGTGAGATAGCATCTCATTATGGTTTTTATTTGCATTTGTCTAATAATTAGTGACATTGAGAATTTTTAAATATGCTTTTTGAACATAAAAGACATTTTTAAATATGTCTTCTTTTGGGAAGTGTCTGTTCATGTTCTTTACCCACTTTTTTAGTGGGGTTGTTTTGTACTTTTTGATTTGCTTAAGTTTCTTACAGATTCTGGATATTAGGCCATTGTCAGATGCATAGTTTGCAAAAATTTTGTCTGATTATGTAGGTTGTCTACTCACTCTGTTGATGGTTTCTTTTTTTGTGCAAAAGCTATTCAGTTTAATTAGATCACATTTGTCAATGTTTGTTTTGTTGCCATTGCTTTTGGCATCTTTGTATGAAATCTTTGCCTGTTCCTATGTCCAGTTATCACCAAGGGTTTCTTGCTTTTTTTGTTTTCTATAGTTTTAGGTTTTACATTTAAGTCTTTACTCCATTAATATAATTAGGCTTTGTGTCCCCACCCAAATCTCATCTTGATTTATAATCTCCATAATCCCCATGTGTCAAGGGAGAGACCTAGTGCAGGGAATTGGATCATGAAGGCAGTTTCCTCTATTCTCTTCTTGTAGTCATGAGTTATCATGAGTTCTGATGGTTTTATAAGTTTTTGGTAGTTTTCATGTATTCATTCCCCTTCATTTTCTGCCATAATTGTAAGTTTCCTGAGGCCTCCACAGCCATGCTGAACTATGAGTCAATTAAACTTCTTTTCATTATAAATTACCCAGTCTCAGGCAGTTCTTTACAAATGTGTGAAAACAGACTAATACAGTAAATGGTACTGAGGTAGTAGGGTGCTGCTATAACAATAACTGAAAATATGGAAGTGACTTTGGAACTGGACAACAGGCAGAGGTTGGAACAGTTTGAAGGGCTCAGAAGAAGGCAGGGAGATGGGAGAATATTTGGAAATTCCTAGAGACTTTTTGAATGGCTTTGACCAAAATGCTGACAGTAATGTGGACAATGAAGTCCAGCTTGAGGTGACCTTAGATGGATATGAGAAGCTTGTTGGTAAGTAGAATAAAGGTAACTCTTGCTATGCCTTAGCAAAGAGACTGGCAACATTTTGCTGCTGCCTGAAAATTTGTGGAACTTAGAATTTGAGAGAGATAATGTAGGGTATCTGGTAGAAAATATTTATAAGCGGCAAAACATCCAAGAGGTGACTTAGGTGTTCTTAAAAGCATTTAGGGCTGGGTGTGGTGGCTCACTCCTGTAATCCCAGCACTCTGGGGGGCCGAGGTGGGCAGACCAGAAGTTCAGGAGTTTGAGACCAGCCTGGCCAAAATGATGAAACCCATCCCTACTAAAAATACAAAACATTAGCCAGGCATGGTGACAGGTGCCTGTAGTCACAGCCACTTGGGAGGCTGAGGCAAGAGAGTTGTTTGAACCTAGGAGGCAGAGGTTGCAGTGAGCCGAGATTGCACCACTACACTCCAGCCTGGGAAACAGAGCAAGACTCAATCTCCAAAAAAAAAAAAAAAGCATGTAGTTTTATACATTCTCAAAGAGATGGTTTGGAATTGAAACCTTTATTTAAAAGGGAAGCAGAGCAGAGAAGTTTGGAAAATTTGCCACCGACAATGTAACAGAAAAGAAAAACCCATTTTTCTAAGGAGAAATTCAAGCCAGTTGCAGAAATGTTAATCACCAAGATGATGGAAAAAATGTCTCCAGTACATGA